CCCGTTACTCGTAGCGTGGGTGTACAGTGTAGGCACAAAAAAAGGTTTAAACAAAAACAGGAACAAAACGAGAGTCGAAGCGGAGCTCCCGTCAGTGCTGACGTATTGCGGCGCACGAGAGCTAGAGTTTTGCTGCTTTTAGCTAACCTTTAGCTGCTTTTCGTTGGAGTTTTACTACTCTTAGCTTTTAGTTAGTCCTGTTCTATGCTTGGCTTTAAACATACTTTTTACAACTTTAGTTTTTTACTTAGTCTTCTGATTATTTTATCTGTAACATCTCAATTTTCAGCAGTCTTTTAGCTCTCAGCATCCAAACTTTTCCACAGGAAAAAATATTTCTTTAGCCCTCATGTCTGTGATGAGACTTTCATCAGTCTCATTTGAGTTTTCTTTTCTTTCAGGATATCGACGATGAAGACGACGAGGTCAGGAAGCCCAAAAAACCTCGTAGGAAAATGATCAGAACCACCTCCATCACCAGGGTTAGTTCCCCGCTTTCCGTCTGCCACACTGAGCTTCACGCTCGCCAATCATTGACTGGGAATAACCCAAGACCTGCGCGGTACTCTCACACGAGCTTTTAGGAGAAAGAACATGATGTGTTCCATTAGGACGACCTGAACGAGCATGTAAATGACCACTGTGGGCTCACTGGACTGATTTTAATGGGCATTACATGAAATGAGTAATCCAGTGGACGGTAACTGGGAGAATTTATGAGCACAGCTGTCCTGCTTTTTGAACTGTAGCATTTATTCCATTTTTATATCATAATTACACAGGGGGGGTTTTCTTTGCTTCTTTTTACAGCAACCTAATTTCAAACAGAAATTTGTGGCTTTGCTGAAGAGGTTTAAAGTTACAGACGAGGTAAGTTGCAAATTGTCTCATCAATTTTCCTGAATGGCACCCAGAAGAACGTATTTAGAGCCATAGCAAAGAGGTGCCTCATCCTTTTCTCTGCGCTCCTCTGAAATGTCTCGGCCCCCTCTTATGAAGTCTCCTGTGACACCTGAAGTTATTAAATTGCCTTTGGGGCAGCAGAACATAATCTCAGTATTGACTGTCTGAGCAGCTTACTGCTGCATCGATGCTAACGCGTCCCTGACAGGACGAGAGGTTTATTACTTCTTCGCTGGTGAATGTTTGATTCATACGTTTCCATGAGCAGCAAACTCACAAAATGTGAATCTTAATGTGCCGTTTTGTTTTTAGCTTAAGAATTCATGCTATTTCCACATACCGGTAGTTCTTTTTGCGATCTAACGCCATACATTTTCTTTTCTTTTTTGTCATTATATGTCAAAATATTTACCGTAGATCATTCAGTAGATGAGTGCTATGATTTATTTATTTTTATTTTTTGTAACTTTTATGCTTTTTACGACGGAGCTTTAGGGCCACGCTAAGAAAAAAAAAAGTTTTTTAAGCCATAAAATTATGAGAATAAAGGCCTACGTGATTTCTATTTTTTTATTTTTTGCAACTCGTTTTATTTTATATTTTTTCAACGAGTCAGATCCACAACACAACCTGTCAATCAATCCAGTAGGCGTTTCAGCAAATGACCAATCTGAAGCTAAATGAGTCGTAATATTATTTGAACTCCGACACGATAAAGCAGAGTTTACCATTTTAACTGAGGTAAAATGGAGATTGAGCATCTTGTTGTTATACTTTGGCATTGGATTTACAAATAAGGAGATAATTAATCTGTGAGCACATCAGCATCAGATTATTATTAGTATCAGGACTTTGAACCTGCTTACAGTCAGGTGGTAGCTCTGATGGGCTGCAGCGCAGCTCTGCAGGTAAGGAGCATTTAGCTTTGGATTGGTCATTTGCTGACACGCCTACTGGATTGATTGACAGGTTGCGTCATGGATCCGACTCGCGGGAAAATAAATAAGTAAATAAATAAACGAGGGCTGCGGAAAAAAAAAAGTCTCGTACGACTTTATTCTCGTTATATTAAGACTTTGATTTTATTCTCGTAATACTAGGACTTCATTCTTGTAATTTTATGGCTTTTAATTATTTTTTTTTTTCTTCTTAGCGTGGCCCTAAAGCTCCGTCGTAACTTTTCAAAATATTTATCTTTATTTAAAGAAATTAATCCCCAGAGAAATTCACTGAGATCTCTTCAGTTTCTTCAAATTTGTTCTCTTTAAAAACTGTTTTAGCAAACTGGCTCTATTTTTGTCTTCTGCTACTTTAAGCTTAAGCCTTTTGATACTATTAGCTTTTGGCTAGCCTTTTGCTTTTTTTTTTTTATCTAACCTTTTGGGGACTTTTACCTTTTCGCTATTTTTTTTTTGGTTACTCTTAGCTTTTAATTAGCCTTTGGTTCCTTTTTGTTGGCCGCTACAAGAGACTCTTCCTTCCACAGCCATCAGCATCAACCAGAATGATGAGCTACAACAACATTTATATTTTAGTAATCCCTTTGGGATTTTTTGTAGCTAATTTTTGTAATTAATCCCTTTGGGATTAATAAAATATTTTTAAATTTGAATTGAATTGAATTAGCTTTTATCTAGCTTTATTTATTCTATCTTTTGTTAGCTTTCAGCTAATCACTTCTTTTAGCTCTCGGCTAACTTTACGATACTTTCAGTTAGCCTTTTGCTACTTTTAGTTTTTTTGATTGCATTTGTCGTGTCGAGCTAGCAGCTAGTCTTTAGTTGCTTTTGGCTAGCAAGCCTCCTACAGATTTAGCATTAGCTAACCAGTTGGTGCGCTTAGCGTTTTAACTAACTTTATGCTGCTTTAAGTTTTTTGGCAACCCTAGCTTGTGTTCTGCTTCCTTTAGTTTTAATAAATCAGTTCCAGTAAAGTCACTTAACCTTTTGGTCTCAGTTTTACGCTGCACACCCTGTGATTCTGCAGATTGGGTCAGTTGTGTTCAGTAACGTTTAATAACACCAATATGTTTGAGGCTGTTGGAACAAACATTTTCGCCCTTAAACCATAAAATCCATGGAAAGAACTTGTTCTTCTTGTTTCTTTTGTTTAAGTCGTACAAACTACAGCTACAAAATAACAATCTCAAGCTGAGTCGAAGCACGCCTTCTGCTCACTTTAGCTGTTATTGTGACACAAGCCATGCGTCTGATTTTGTCCAGTGATGCTCACAACAGACTCCAGACAATCCGTCATGTATTCTTCTGGATACTTCTGGAAGCTCCAGGTGGCTCGGTGATATTTTATCACGTTCCCTGTCGCTAATCTCATCCTTGTGGCTAGGTAATGTGCAGCTCTATAAATAGCCAGGCAGGAGGAGCAGAGGGAGCGGGCCGTGTTTATCTGCTTCGCACTGGAGTGGCATTAATCACCTGATTAGTCCACAGGCCTGCCTGCATGTGGTTCCGTTGATGCACATCCCAACTGTGCAGCACCGTAGCGCTCGTCTCTCACTCTATCACCGTTTAATTACCCCGATCAGAGCAAAGACAAGGTTGTATTTAATGCACCGCTTTCTTGTTTTATAACCATCACTAGCTTTATTCTCCATTAGTTCAGCTGTGGCGATCAATACCTGAAGAAATTTGCTTCCTACAGCTTCTTGATTTATATCCCTAAAGACAAATGTTTGAGCACAATGTGCTGAAGATGTGTTTAACATGTCTGGCAGGTTCTGGACTCTGATCCGGTGGATCAGACCCAGGAGGTGGAGGAGGATCTGGACTTGCTCTATGACAGTCTTGAGGTGTACAACCAGAGTGACAGTGGGCCAGAGATGGACGACAACGACAGCGTGCTGAGCACTCCCAAACCCAAACTCAAGTATGTTTGAGCAGAACCGTTCTCCTTAAAGGTCATTTGTCCTATACGACTTTTAGAAAAATACCAGTAAGTGCAAATAATATTGATTCAATTTTATGGACTGAAAACATGAACACTGTATAACATATTTTGTTGTTAACCCAATAAAAGTTCATTCATAACCGTCAGGTGTAATAATAATGTTCCAATAACCAAACAAACACAGATGGGTTCAGGTCCAAGACATTACTTCAAAAGACTTACTGTAATTTGTGCACTATTAAGCACACCTGAATATAAGCCACGCCCACTAAATAAAAAAATATATAATGTTCATATATATAGGCCACGCTCGTCTATAAGCCCACGTTGTAATGAGATATTTACACAAAGATTTTTTTAAACTTTTAATTAAATACGTACAGTAAATGTTTTTTTCTTAACGGTGTCGTAACACGGCCGGTTAAATAATAATAATAATAATAATAATAATAAAAATACAATGGCCATAATGATCGCAAAAGCTGCTCTTAGCATACGGCCCGTTTTGGTAAACGATGTCACGCCGCCAGTCATCCAAGCCTCCCACAGAGCTCAGAGTCCCACGTTAAACGATTCACACCTATTTCGAAAGGCTGCAAATACTTCGTTATAATACAACGTGAAGGGGAGGAGGGAACGCATGAACGTCCCCCCTCCCTCCCCGTTTCATTGGTCAGATTATTATTATTTTAGTACCTGTATTTATACAGATAGTCTCATTGAATCACGAGGACCCACCCCCCAAAGAAAGACGTGTATCGGGCAGTTCTGTGAGCGCCCGGGTGTGACGAGGCTAAATGTTTTGGCGGCATGAAGCTCGTTAGCTCATAAAAAATAAAAAAATCCATAAATTAGCTGCAGCGTTGTGTTCACTGCGGGGTTTAAAGCGTGTGAAAACAGTAGCATCTTTTAGTTTGGAAATTACGTTGTATACTCCCTTAGTTTTCTTCTCACAATTTAAAACTCTTTGTTTTTAGGCCGTTTTTTGAGGGGATGTCTCACTCCAGCTCGCAGACTGAGATCGGAAGCATTCACAGCCAAAAGAGCCAGCAGAGGGAATCGGCATGTCCTGTAAGTTTATCGTCGTTCTTCCTGTGGACAAACCTGACACTTTAGACTTGTTTACCTTTAAAGTTGTCTCTAAACGGTGAAATGTAGAAGAAAAGCATCAGCTGTCTGTGGTTGTAGTTGTTCAGGTATTCTGAAAGATACCACAGCTTGAGCTCAAAGCAGCCTCTAGTGTCTAAGGATGAGACTTAAGTTCTTGCCCTTCCCACCCCTGCAGCCTTTCAGTATTTATAGTGACTGTCACCAGATGACCTTTCCAGCACCATCAACACACGCACACGCACGCAGACACAACTATGCTCCCATGCTGCAAGGGAAGATCGGACGGCTCGGTCCTGAACCTCCTCCTCTGAGATTTATGAGCTGTTAGGACAACATGGGCCGAGAACGAGAGACGTGTCTGACCAGAGAGGAAGAGCTGTTTATAAATATCTGGGAATCCATTTTAGCTCGTCACGAACTGGCCCAAAGCATTGCTCACTGATGTAGCCCTCCATCTTGTTGCGCTCCAGTGGAACTTCATAAACAAGTTTTACAGCCAAAAAGCAAAAAATATTTGATCTCCTCCTGAAATTTATGAAATCACACGTTACAAAATCCTTTTTGAAGTTCTCCAGAGGAACAAATGTGCCTCAACTGATTGCTGAGAAAATGTAACACTTCAGTGTCAGATGTCTGTAACTACCGGTAATGACTTACTGTAATGTGTTACAACATGCGTGTGCTCTGCAGAGCGGAGACTTTCTGACTGTGGACAGATGTAAAGTGCAAGCAGGCCGATTTCCAGAGGACAGCAACACAGACGCGACTGTTGGGGTACGTTTTAAGAACAGCTATGGTACTTTCACATCTTTTACTTTGGCCATTGTTGTATCAAAACATTCTGCTCGTTCAGGAGAACATTGCTGTGACTTTTACTTTTTGTAATTGGTATATATAGATATATTTTTTAATATTTAACTTTATTTACAAGTCTTTTCCCCCATAAACATACAGAGACCTCGTACGTTCCTTCAAAAACAATTTTCTCTTTGAAATCTGGTTCTATTTATTTATTTTTGCTACGTTAGCTTTTAGGTAGCATTTTGCTTCTTTTAGCCTTTTATTAGTTTTTGCCTTTAGCTATTCTTTGCTGCTTTTAACTTACCTAGTGTTTTGCTACTTTTAGCTACTATTCTGCTACTTTGAATAATTAACTAGCTTTTTGCTATTTTTAGCTAGCCTTTTGTTACTTTTGCTAGCATTTTGTTCTTTTAAGCCTATAGCCTTTTATTAGTTTTAGCTTTTAGCTACTCTTTGCTACTTTTAGCTACCATTCTCCTACTTTGAATAATTAACTAGTTTTTTTGTTGCTATTTTTCACTTTTAGTTAGCCTTTTGTTACTTTTAGCTAGCATTTTGCTTTTTATAAGCTTTTAACCTTTTATTAGTTTTAGCTTTTAGCTACTCTTTGCTACTTTTAGCTACCATTCTCCTACTTTGAACAATTAACTAGGTTTTTTTTTGCTATTTTTCACTTTTAGTTAGTCTTTTGTTACTTTTAGCTAGCATTTTGCTTTTTATAAGCTTTTAACCTTTTATTAGTTTTAGCTTTTAGCTACTCTTCGCTACTTTTGTCTACCATTTTGCTACTTCAAATTATTAACTAGCTTTTTGCTTCTTTTAGGTTTTAGCTAGCCTTTTGCTATATTTAGCTAGTGTACTTTTAGCTTGCAATTTACTTTCTTTAAGCTTTTTGCTTATTAGTTTTAGCTTTTAGCTACCATTCTGCCACTTCAAATTATTAACTAGCTTTTTGTTTCTTTTAGCTTTTAGCTAAACTTTGCTGCATTTAGCTAGTGTTACTTTTAGCTAGCCTTTTACTTTTTAAGCTTTTAGCCTTTGACTAGTTTTAGCTTTTAGCTACTCTTCGCTACTTTTGTCTACCATTTTGCTACTTCAAATTATTAACTAGCTTTTTGCTTCTTTTAGCTTTTAACGAGCTTTTTGCTATCTTTAGATGGTGTTACTTTTAGCTGACATTTTGCTTTTTTAAGCTATTAACGTTTATTAGTTTTAGCTTTTAGCTACTCTTTGCTATTTTTAACTTCAAACTGTTTTGCTACTTTTAGCTATCATTTTGCTACTCCAAATTATTAACTAGCTTTGCTAGGTTAAGCTTTTAGCTGGCCCTTTGTTACTTTTCACTAGTGTTACTTTTAGTTAGCGTTTTTCTACTTTGCTTGTCTTAGCTAGTGTTTTGATTCTTTTAGCTTCTATCTACATTCTGCTACTTTTAAGTAGTGTTTTATTTTTAGTTGGCGTTTAGATTTTAGCTAAACTTTTAGCTGCTTTTAGCTAGTGTTTTACTACATTTTGCTTCTATCTACTATTCTGCTTCTTTTACATTTTAGCTAGTTTTTACCTCTTGTCTAACCTTTTTGCTACATTTACCAATTGGCTAGCATTTAGCTTCTTTTTGCATTTAGCTAGTCTTCTGCTTCTTTTGGCTCTAACAAATTTCAGCAGTCATTCAACACTCGGTGTTCTCACAGTTTAAACTGAATCTTCACTTTTAGACATTTTTATTCCGTCCAACCTTCTGCGCTCCTCATTCCTGTTCCATTGAGTCCTCGAGGCTCAGTGGGATTACCTGTCTAAATAAAGGTTGAATGGATTTAAAGAAGTAACGGAGAGAGGCAGTGAACGCTCGTCCATCATGGATCCGTTTGACAAACAGCTGCAGCTCTGACTGGTGACGACTGGAAGAGGGACGTCTTGGCTTGTTGTTCTGGTGCCGTCGGGTCAGGCTAACCTTGTTGGTCCAGCGGCGGCTCCCTCTGAGCTCAGGACAGCTGTCTGAGTACGCCGCTCCACTAACCTGATTTGAAGTAAACATGGAGGCTGCAGGATCGGTGTTTCCTCGGCCACCTGCTAAGACGCCATGACTTTATCTGTGCTGTCAGCCTGAGCTTGTTTCGTTATCCCCAGCCCTGACAGCTGAGCTCAGTCCTTCACCAGGCCAGAGGCACCTTACCCCACCTCCCTCCCCCTCAGCCCTTTCACCTCGCCTTAAAATGTGTGGCGAGCCACCACACACACTGATCCACTGGTTTAGTTTGCTGGGATGTGCTCTTCTCTAAACGTGGCTTATCGATCGTGTGAATGTTTATGAAGCATTCACTCTGTTCTGATCCGTTTTTCATCCGTACGTTTTTCGGCATCTTTCTCATTCCACAATTTTTTGAGCTATTTCAACAAAACATTCAGCTCTTTCAGGACAATCCTGCTATGACTTTTGGTATTGGTGCAACTTTAGCTTTTTGAAATATTTAGCCTTTTCTGACATGTTTTCCTCATAGAAAATGAATTGAGCTCATTATACCTCCTTCAAATCTTTAGATCCGTTTACAACCTTTTGCTGGTCCTTTCACTTTTTGTTCAGCTTCAGCTTCTTTCAGCTTCCTTGCACAAATTAAACTTTTTTCAGCTGTTTTTTGTCCTTTTAGATTTTGTCTGCCAACTACAACATTTTTGTGCTTCTTCTAACTTCTTTCTGCTAATTTCAGCTTGTTATGCTCCTTTCAGATTATTTATGCAAGTTTCAGGTTTTTCGACTATTTCAGCTACTATTTAGCTTTTTTTAATGCTAATCTGAACTTTTTCAGCTAATTCTACATTTTTTGCACTCATTTCAACTTTTTTCAGCCTAATTCAGCAAAAACTTGCTCTCTACTTCCTTTTGGTAATTTAAGTTTCTTTCTGCTGTTTTAACTACTTTTCAGCTGCTTTTGCTAATTTCAGCTTTTAAGCTAATTTCCACTTTTTTGTGCTCATTACTGCTTCTTTCAGCCTAATTGAGCAAACTTTTTTTCTGCTTCCTTCCGCTAATCAAGCTAGCTTTTTAGCATTTTTTTGCTAATTTCAGCTGTTTTAATATAAATTCAAGTTTTCATGTAAATTTCTGCTCCTTTCAGCCTAATTAACTTATTTAAGCTAATTTCAGCTTGTTGTGCTCCTTTCAGTTTTTTCTGCTCTTCAGCTACTGTTTAGCTCTGTTGATGCTACTTTTAGCTTTTTCAGCTAATTCCACATTTGTTGAGCTCATTCCAGCTCTTTCCACTTCCTTCTGATAGATTAGGCTTCTTTTTGCCTTTTCTACTACTTGTCATCATTTTTTTTTGTTGTTGTTTTTTTTGTTGCTAATATCAGCATTTATTTTTTTTTGCTGTATTTCAACCTACATTTTCTATAACATCTTTTTTTTTTGGTACTAAATTGCTTAAATTTCAGTTTTTGGACAGTCCAGGCTGTTCCCGAGAAACAGGGTTAACATCATTATTGTCCTCTTGGCTTATATTTCGTCTCCTCTTAAGGTTCAGGAGCCAGAGACGGAGAACAGTGGACCGGGGTCGGGGGACGTGAACAGCTGGGATGTCAACGCTGAACGAGTGACCAGCTCCGTTGGCAAACTCTGCAAAACGGAGTCACAGAATCACATGTCTCCCAGGTACGCTGCTGCTGACTGACCCTGAAAACAAACACTCCAAATACAGCTCTCATCGAGCCACCATGTCTTAAACACGCAGCTCTGGTTTCAGTTCGGATCTCGAGTCCAGTTTTTTCTCGTGTGTGTGTTTTAAGCCCCGTGTATTTTGTTCTCTCAGTAAAGTGGAGAACAGGCTGCAGAGACGACCTCGCAGCACCTCCATGAAAGACCGACAAAACTCGAAGGCTCAGAGTGACCGGACCAGCAGCATGGAGAGCGAGTGCTCCCCGGACTCACGGCTGATAGCACAGGTACACACACACATTAAGACGGCGTCAAGTTGCAGTTCTGACTTGACAGATTTTATTTTCCGTGTCTGACTCTCTGCTCCTCTTTTGTCTTCAAGGTTCCCAGGAAGTCTGTGTACGACCAGCTGAACCAGATCCTCATCTCGGACGAACGCCTGCCTGAGAGCATCATCCTCATCAGCACGACGGAGTGGCAGGGGCAGGTGCGCGTCCATCCAAACGTGACGCTTCGCGCTCGAGCCAACGCCGTTGCACAATTTTCCAGTTGCTTTCCTGGGGTTTTTTTTTTGTTTGTTTGTTTGTTTAAAGTTGCAGAAATCGACTGCAAAAACAAACATTCAAAAATCAAAATGTTCAGCTCGTTCAGGAGATTTGTAACTTTTATACTTTAAAAAATATTTAACTTTATGTACAAATATTTTCCCCATAAAAACACGCGGAGATCTCTTCAGCTTTTTTTTCATCTGCTTCAGCATACTTTGTCTTTTTTCATCATCTTACATTACTTTTAGTTTTTAGCTACTGTTCTGCTACTTTTAGCTGCTAACTAGCCTTTTGCTACTTTTAATAACACCTTTAATTTAAAACACACTTCAAATGTTCAAAGAAAGTCTGCTATAATGAAATAAACAAAAAATATATAGTTTAAACTTCAAGCTCTCTTTTTGCTGCTTTTAGCTTTTTACTAACCTTTTGCTGTTTTTAGCTACCTATTTTTTTTCTTTTAGCTGGGCTTTTGCTACTTTTCAATAACCTTTTGTTACATTAAAAATTTAATTACCCAGTAAACATTTCTGCCTTTAGCCAGTGTTTGACTGAATTTAGTTTTTTGCAACTTTTACCTTTAAGCTGCCATTCTGCTACATTTAACTTTAAGCTAACATTACGCTACTTTAGCCTTTAGTTAGCATTTAACTACCTTTTTTGGTTTAGCCATCATTTTTATGCTGCTTTTATACACATTTTGCTACATCTAACTTTTAGCTATTTGCTACTATTATTTGGCTTTTGCTGCTTTTAGCTAACCTTTTGCTGTTTTTAGCTTTTGGCAAATATTTTGCTGTTTTTAACTTTTAGCAAACATTTTGCTGCTTTTAGCTATATATTTTCAGCTATTAGCTAACCTTTTGTTTCTTTAAATTTAAAAAAAAAAAAATTCTGCCTTTAGCCAGCATTTGACTGAAATTAGTTTTTAGCTAATATTTTGCTACTTTTACCTTGAAGTTGCCATTTTGCTACTTTTAGCTTTAAGCTAACCTTATGCTACTTCAGCCTTTAGTTAGCCTTTAACTACCTTTTTTGGTTTAGCCATCCTTTGGTTGTTTTAGCTACATTTTGCTACATCTAGCTTTTAGCTATTTGCTACTATTGTTTAGCTTTTTCTGTTTGTAGCCCTTTAGCTAACCTTTTGTTAATTTTAGCTAGTGTTTTGAACCTGTTATCTTTAACTATTCAATTTTAGCTTTTAACATAAATTTCAGTAAATTGTTCAGTTTTCACACTTTTTATTTTTGACAGAAAATGTAATTTCTGTGTTTTTTCTTCACCTTTATTTGTTTTTAAATGTGAAATAATCGTTGGACGTAACGGAGCAGCTTTTTACTCACAGGTCGAGCTTTAAGCTTGACGTTGTTAGAGCGGTGTAGTTTCTTTTTTCGATGCTCGCTCGGCCGTTTTTTGCAGCTCCTCTCACCTCAACCGTCTCCTGTGAATGTCCGTACTCATCGCGTGTCCCTCGCGTGTTTCCGTACAGTACGTCGCCGACCTGCTCCACGAGCAAGGCCAGCCCATCGTCTCCACCTGCTCTGCTGCGGACGTTCAGGCTGCCTTCAACACCATCGTCACTCGCATCCAGAGATTGTGAGTTATCTTCATACGTGTGCACGCTCATTCGTGTTGCTGGGCTTTTTTCTGTGCGTCTGTTTTATTTATTTATTTGTTTTTTATGTTGCCATTTTAGTTAGTTGTTGTTTTTCCTGGATCCACCTGCTGGGCTGTTGCTCCCTGCAGATGTCCGGCAGACGAGGCTTTAACTCGTCCTCCGAGGTCGTGAAATATTAACTTTCTGATATCTGCACAGCTGTGGAGGTTTTCATGTTGTCCCCGGAGTCTAATCTTTGAGTTGATTTCCAGAATTAACATCAAATGGAAAAAATATAAATAAATTCTGCAATATTTGGTCCAGATGTTTTTATTTTGTTTACAAACGATTAAAACAGTGTTATGAGTAAACTCTTTATTTATTAGCTGTGTTTATGTACTTAATTGGAAACAGCCCGCATTTTAAGTATTTGATATTTTCGTTTTTTTAATCCAAAGCTGGAACGTTTCAAAGTAAAACAGACTCTAGTTGAGCATTTTTCCTTTTTTTTTATTTTTTTTATTGCCGTTGCAGAAATGTTTTGACCTGTGTCTGCGTGCGAGAGTTCATTTTTCTGCCCCGTTAGCACAATATCTCATGAATCACGGAGCTGATTTTACTGACGCTCTCAGAAAGTAATCAGAAGGTGCACATCTACAGCTGGAGTCGGTTCAGATCAAAAGTGGCCACCACAGCTGATCAACGTGACAGTTTACAGATGTTTGGCTCAGTAGCAGAGAGGGGTTCAGAGCTCGTGCTCCGAGCGAGACGATCAAAGTCCACAGCTCTGTTCCGCTCTGTAGTGCAGCGGGTGACGCGCATTCCTTCAAGGGACGCTAGACCTTTTAATTTTAAATGTCGTGTTGGCTGTGGTGGGATCAGGATTGAAAAGCTGTTCCAAAGTTGTCGTTTTTTAGGTTTTTAAGATCTAAAATAAAACAATCAGGCTTTTAAATAACAAGTAAAAGTGGTTTTAAAACATTAATTCCTTTGAGAAATGTTGTTTTTCTGTCAGAGCGACATGATTTTTCAGACGAGGCGTCTCCGACTGACGTTTCTCACAGATCTGTTGTCTTCTCCTCTTCCTTCCTCCCTCCCTGCCTCTCCTTACCTCGACCCCTGCAGCTGTAACTGCAACGCTCAGACGCCGCCGACGATAAAGGTGGCGGTGGCCGGCGACCAGAGCTACCTCAGCACCGTCCTGAGGTTCTTCGTGGAGCAGCTGGCCAACAAGACGCCTGACTGGCTCAGTTATATCCGTTTCCTGGTGATCCCCATTGGTACGACTCCCAACTCAACACGGACAGAGCCAAGATCCAACCAAGGATGCTTATTATTATTATTATTATTTTTCTGTGTTTAAACGCAGGTTCTCATCCTCTGGCGAAGTACGTGGCCTCTTTTGACAGCCGCTTCAACAGCATCTTCATGGACACGGCATGGAGGGAGCTGTTCTGCAGGACAGAACGGCCCACATCAGGTGGGACCCATCGCTCTGCAAGCAGAAAAACTAATCTACAAGTCTGCGTGTCTAATGTGCAGCCAACTTGAAAGGGACAGAATCTGGGTCAGACGAGTGGATGGGTGAAGGATTTAGTTTTTGATCTTGCCCGTCTCTTCTCACAGTGTAATGCCGCTTCTGACAGTTTAAAGGCTCTCGCTGTCAAAAGTCTGTAGTTATAAATTACACATAACATGAACTCATCCATTCGTTATTATTCACTTTCTCCTGTTTTTATACATCTGCAGCGTTTTGACTCTTACAAATAGAAAATCATTGAATTAATCAAACAAAAACACGTTTAAGTTCTTAGCCTGTTTTTACGTTTTATATGTAGCTTTAACTGCTTTAACTGTTACATTTTGATTAATTCTTCCGCCCACTTGCTTTTTGTCACTATGACAATTCTTGACTCGCTCACTTCGTCTCTATTATCCCCGTCTCTGTCATAACAAGCCCGTCAACGTCGACTTGTGATTTAATCCTCGGACACGCACGCGAGTTACAGCATCACACATCACGTTGAGTCAGATCAGACGAGGAGGCATAAAAATATTAAAAAACGCACGAACGTGTGCATGCGTCCTCAGGTTTTCTTTTCTTTCTGCTCGTTATTCTTTGACTTTTAACAGAAGCTGTCGTTCCCGAACAGAAACCCACGAGCCTTTCGTCTCGTGCACAGTTTCGCGCGTGCGAGCTACACTTTAATGACATTTTACATCCTTCTTAATTCACTGGAATCTAAATGAGTCGTGCTGTTTTCTAGCAGTCAGATTTGTGTGGAAATGAACATCAGTATATTATCAGGTATATAATAAGCCACACACACAAAATAAAAAAGTGAGTATTTGTTGTTATTAAGAAAAGTGTTTACCGTATTTCCCGGACTACAGAGCGCACCTAAATAAAAAAATTTAAATGTTATGCATATATAAGCGGTGCTTGACTATAAGCTGCAGGTGTTCACATTGTAACTATGAGTTCTGTGATAATAACGTTAAATTATTATTTTATATATGAACGTTTCTGTTCAGTGCCCTGAGACGACTTCTGTTGTGACTTGGCCTTATATAAATAAACTGAACCGAATTTAAATTAACTTGTGATATTTACACAGAAAGATTTTTTTTAACTTTTAATTAAATATGTAACGGTAACGTACACAAATACGTAGAGTAAATGTTTTTTTTCTGAACAATCCCAGTAACACGGCTGGTTAAGCCAACCAGGAAGTCGTATTCCTCCTGCTGCAAGCATGTGCTCCGCGGAGCAAAAGTTGCTCTGCACATGCAGAGGAGTCCCCCCTCACATGCTCTGTGCATGGGGGGGGGCCCCCCCCCCCCGGTTCATTGGTTCGACTGTGACCTGTTCGGTAATTTCATTGAAGCTAATTGTTTCTGGAGGCAGGAAGCTCGTTCGCCCGTAATAAATTCCATAAATTAGGCTGAAAAAAGTAGCGGCTTCTAGACCAGAAAGTGCGGTAGCAGTGTTCCCCTACCATTATACAAGCAGGCCGCCCCGCCCTGCCTACCCAACCGCACCCCGTCGACAACTGCCGGCACTGACGTAGTGCTGAGTTAGAGGCGCGCAACACAGACGCGCTAGCTAAATAGCTACACGGCAGAACGCCGCAGTTTCATTTAAAAACGGTGCCGTGTAAACAGCGCCTTAGTTCAAAGCGCGTTCCTTCAGGAAACGCTGTGTTTAATCCAGTGGAATGCAAGGTGTTTTGTGTCGTGGCGTGCTGCTGACGGTTGTTCCTCGTGTCTGCAGATAACATCGATGTCTCTGGGCGGATCGTCCAGTATCTGTCCGGCGCCAACGTGTCCCACCAGTTCCCCATCTCTGAAGCCATGCTCACCTACAAGCAGAAGAGGTAAACTGACTGCTGGTTGTTCCTTCACACTCATGCAGGTGCACGTGTCCGTTTGCATTTACGTCTTTTCTGTTTTTATCATTATTAATGTTTTTGTTTATTTATTTATTTTAAAAAGAAGCTTATTTTAAACTAACAATTATCAGTAAAACTCATCTGAACTGAATATTTTTTAACGACACGTGAAAATATGAAGCTTTGAACACGACTTGCTTCGATTGGTGAAAATAAATGCTGCTTTAATTAAAAACTTTACATTTTTCCAGACGTTAGTAAACAGGTTTGGGAAAAATAAAATAAACTTTTATGTTTGAGTTGAGCTCGTCCGAGTTTAAATCTGATTCAACCGTTCCTCTTTAGAAACGGCTCCAGTTTTAACGCTGATGCATTCCTTCTCCCCTTTTCCCTTTTTGATTTGCTTTCAAGGAAAAGAAGTTTGTATTTTGATTTTTATATCAGGTATTTAACTGAATCCTCTTTTTGTTTTTGCCCTTCTTCTCTTTTCTGCTCCTTCATTTGGCCCGAGCCTCC